TGTGTGTGTGTGTGTTTGACACAGCTGGACTGATTTTATCTGCGGATACAAAGACCACGTCGTGTTTACTTAAACACAAAACATCTTTTACATGAATCCTTTCAGCCGTTAAATGTTCCAGCAGCCGGTGGACCACTAGGATGAGGTCCCATCTGATCACATCTTTCCAACTGCAGTGCACAAGAGAAAAGCACCAGCAGAGATGATAAAAGTAACGCTGTTGACCAGGTTAGATTTTCCATCTCCTCTGATTGGTCACTAGGGTGGTAACTTTTATTATAAATTCCAAAATTAGTTTGACCCAAATGGCAACCTCCATGGCTGGCTAATGAAGCCAACACAGAAGTAACAAAACTGCAGTTCCTCAAACGGCCGCTTGAGGTTGGCTCCAGCAGTGACTTAGTCTCCTTAAGGCCCCGTAATGCCCAACTTTACAGAAGAAATAAACACAGGCTGCCTCCATAGCTTATTTAAAGTGTACTGACCTGATCAAATTTCAAACTCACAGTAAGTGCAAAAGACAGTGTGAAGTAGTTTTTCTTTTGATCCAGCAGAGGGTTCACTATCAGCTTCACCATTCCCTACTGACCTGTCAGTAAAGTAATGTTGTAATTGTAATTGTTACGACAAAAATGGAGGACACTAGAGGTGAGCACAGCCGTCCTGAGCAGACAATCACGGCACAAAAGCATCTGAGTGTGCTTCTATTGCCTTTGTACAAAGAATACAAATTTCACAACCTCTCAACAAAGCCAGAGCACTGAACGCTGACAGTCAAAAGAACCTTAGCTCTGAATGCACTCTCACACTCTAAAACACTTGAGAACATTGGGTGGCACTCAACAAACACTGAGTGGATGAAAAAGGTTTATACACAAGGCCATCAACTTAAACACAAATATCATTAACACACTGTTCTAGTCTGGTAGAAATAACGGCTTCAGACCACTGCTATTCTATTCTGGCTTTCACAAATATATACCCCTTTTGAGATTGCAGCTTTGAGATGCACTCCAATCAAACATTTTCTATGAAGACCTCTCACTGGGTTTCCATGGCGATAACAGCCAGAGGAGGAGAGGGCAGAAACGTAGCGGCAGGCATGCAGATTAAGATGTTTGCCAGGAATGACTAAACAAAGATGCCACAGTGTTATTTCAATGTCTAAACAGCCATGCAGTGGAAATGCACTGAGCTTGAAGGTCTTCCCGAGCTCACTGCAGTACTACAGACACTGTTAGACAGCAAGTGTGAATGCAGAGACGTCCATTATTTCATCATTTCATTTATTTTATGTCTCCTAACAGTCTTACCTTTTTTGAATACTACTCACAGGGTTTCTGCGAGATTCACCAAGCTACATTTAAGACTTAATTTAATACCTGTTTCACAATCATACCATCCATAGTATTGAAGTACAATGTAGCGTTATTGCAACCTGGGGGCGGGTAAGCAGCATAAAATCGATAAATGGATTACGTAATAAACCCAGTATGGTACACAATGTATCCTTTCTCTGCACACTGCTCACCTGCTGTTGTAAAAACTGAATCGTCCTGGTCCCGGAACTCACCTTGGTACAGTGTTCCCCCCCTTAATTTACCAAGTTAAATGTGAAAATACTCTGGCTCTACAGCTGTTTTTCCAATTTGCAGCTGAATGAGAGTCCATCTTTGAGCAGCAGCTCTTGTTCTTCAGAGGCAGGCCATTAAATTAGCAAAATAGGCAATGGCAATAGACTCCAATCAATATATAAAACCAATATATTCGCCCGATCGCATAACCCTTTGAGGCAGTCATCAAATGCGTAGTTAAAAGTAAGTATACAAGGATTACCAACAGCCCTTGCAGTAGCTTTAAGGCTCGATTTGTGTGGAGCTGCTGTGTTCTAAAAAGTTTATTTTATTTATCTTGGTCTGCTGTTGACGTGCTAAAAAAACAGCCATCTCTCTCGGCTTTGAGCACCAGTCAAAATTATGTTATATATATATAATTTGCGTGTGCAAAGGACGCAACATCTGAAAAGCCACTAAGACAGCTCCAACTGAATGCTTATAATACCTCACATCTGCAGGTTGTGCAAATAGGCTTTTGTTTGCTACAACTTTAGAAAGACAATAACATGGCAACTAAAACTTTGTCTTAGATTTCCTCTGCCTTCTACTGGCCAAAACAATATCAAGCAGCTTTAAAAAACCTTCTAAAATATAAAATAATAACCCCGGGTACAGCTCCACTCTACTCTGCTTTGTTTTTCACTGCAGATAGTAACCCCTCAACGTAGGTAGAGCAGATCGTCATAGCGATGCCATCCCAGCAACACACGGGACTTTAGTTTAGTTTTGAGAAGCTGCAGCCTTTGTAACTATAACCTCCACTGTACATTTAGTGCCAGATTCTCTCTGCTGCTCTCTATCCCGCTCAACCACACACTGGTTACACACACAAAGAGGAGCTGCTCTTATAACAGAGGATATGAAGGGGTGGTGTTCTTCATACATCTGCACTTCATCAACTGACGATGGTGTGGTTTTGCAGGCTGCCATTTTTGAGTACCATGCGGTGGGAAAGCCCTAATGAAACTCACCATGCTCAGCTTTTGTTTATGGAGGTTGTAGTTTGTGTTGTATTGAATTATTTGACTATTTTGTTCACCAACAAGTTGTGAAGCTTTAAGGAGGCCCACAGTATGTTGCAAGTGCATGAATAACGTGGTAATATATTGATTGGCTAATGCTAACTGGCAAATTATATCATGATTTATTTAATCACAATCTATGATCTAAACTGCAGTCTTTTATCTCAATTTTGAAATGCCCTGTAGACTACAGCCAGACTTGAAATAGCCTATGAATTTGTCCATTTGCACCATTAAAACACAATATTGCATTAAAGGTACTACACTAATTTCAAAATAGTTAAATTTAAACCTCAGTTTAGTTTGAAGCCAAAAACACAAAATAAATAAAATAATACTTAAGTATACTTTTATAATCAGGTGTGATAGTTACTTTGGTTTGTGCAGTGCCGTCAGTGTAGTGACGTCACTTGTAGCCACGCCTACCCTGCTTTATCTATTCTACTCTAAATCTTGATCTAAAATTGTCAGATTGTCCACCCTAGTTTAGTGAAGACAGGTGGTTTTACATGTCTGGATTAGCACCCTGACAAGTCTCAGTGTGGAATTCTGTATGCTAAAATTTCCACATTCAAAATGCCCAGTTTGACTGATATATGGCTGACTTACAGTGCAGCAGGGCTAGCTTTATAATTTTCCATGGCTGTTTTCCCACTGTGAAATGTCCCCATTGGAAACTCCCATTGGATATATAAATCCACTTTCCTATTTGAAGGAGAAAACCAACTTTTGAAAGATACATTTTAAGCCTACAGAGGGTATTATTATTAACAGCAACTTGTCTACTTACCAGCGACTTCCACAATGTCTCCAGGAACAATGTCTCGGGCTCTGACTCTCTGGACGCTCTTCTTGTCCTGTCTGTACACCTTACCCATCTCTGGTTCGTACTCCTTCAGAGCCTCAATGGCGTTCTCTGCATTACGCTCCTGGCGACACAACAATGCACAAAGTTCCTATAAGTTTCTTTCAATTATTGATGTGGAAGTTACAACTGTTGATAGACAAATCGCTCCCCAGCGTGGTTCCCCTCATGTGAAGACAGCAGGAAAGGGGATACAGAAAGTAACAGGTGTTATAGAACATGAGGTCTTGCTAAACCAGGCAGGTCTGTTTGAGGTATTCAGATAATCTCTCTGACCAATCCATTTTCTCTGCTTGAGCTACAAGCAGAGAAAGATTAGTATTTTAAATATATAGTCGGCCTAATTCTAGCATTGTTGAAGTAGGTTAACCCCAGAAGTCAGAATGCACTTCAAAAGGTGGAATGGTAAAGTTATAGAGTGTCCAGTATTCCTAAAGGCAGAGGACAACTTCAAATTAGTACAAAAAAAGCCACATACTTAAACCAATAACTTCTGTTTGATTATCACTATCAATGTTCCTAGCATACTGCAAAATATATTCATTTAACCATTTCCCATACTGAAAAGCAGTATGCAGTATGTACTACATACTGCTTTTGTCCGTAGTATGTAATACACGGTTTCGAATACAGCTTTTGTCTAAAACCCAAACCAGGGCAACAGGAAACGCCAGACAATAATACCCCGAAGACGAACCATACTGTGGTATTAGTGAGGTGTGCTGTCAAAAACAGCTGCCAGTATACAGTTCTACAGCACCTTAAACTGCAGCCATCAAAATGATCATACAGTTCAATCTTAAACAACGCTCTAAAAAAAATAAAATAATAATAATATATTAATAACATATTAACCTTCATGATGTGTTTTGATCAACAACCTGGGATTTTATTGCGTTTCTCTCATAACACCAATTTAAAGACTCATTAATATTATTTAATGGTTTAAGAAATTGCCTCGCTATGTTGATATGATCCACAATTCACAAAACCTGCACATGCTGTTTACCTGCCATACTCCTACAATAGCATTGGCGATGAGGATGAGGAGGATGACGAAGGGCTCAACAAAGGCTGTGATTGTACCCTCTCCTTCTTCGAACCAAGCCAGGGTCTATGAGACAGAGAGAAAGGTAAAGATTTGCGTTCAGTGTGGTTCTCATTTGGTTTGCGTGTGTACACTGCAGGGTTAAAGGTGCAATGTGTAAGAATTGTAATGTATTGGCCACCTGTTGAATTCATGTTCCAAACAAATAGAGGGCAGCATATCACCGGAGTAACCGCTAACTGCTGCCGTTAGCTAGCTGGTTCAGTTAGCCATACAGCTAGTAGCAGCAGTAGCTATTCATTAAGTCACTATTAGCTGACTGTCTCATTAACCACTCTAGCACAGGTGCTTTGGGCTGCTGGGAGGAAGAGGTTTTCACGCCAGAGGCCAGGGTGGATGAGTTTTACTATCTGACTACTGAGGTACAAAATGGTATTAAGTGGCTAGCAAACTAACTTCAGTAGATATCTCTGCAACACGATACACAGACGTCTTCGACATAACGCCGAAACTGTTGTTTCTTTGCATTCTGTTGATAATTTTAATTCATTTTCGAATGTTTTAAACTAATATTCTTTGATATTGCACCTCTAAATCATTATATCAGTGTACAAACTCTGTATACTTTTTGTAGAAACGATTGTGATTCCTCGTATAAGTCAGTGTATATGTGTTTGCTTGTGGTTGTGTGTTTCCTTACAAAGGAGATGCATGCAGCCAGCAGCAAGATTCGAACCAGCAGATCCTCAAACTGCTCCAGAACCAGCTCCCAGAGTGACTTCCCTGCACGGGGACACAGAGGAACACAATGAGCGGTCAAATAAAGAAACAAACAAACAGAGACAGACTAAGGTAATGATGATGAAAGAAATAAAGAAACAGGATAGGATATAATAAGAAAGATTGCTGGCTCACCTTCTTCAGCTGGCAACTCTGTGAGTAAAGAAAGGGTTAAAGGTGGATAGAAAGGAGAGCGGATGGAGAAAAAGGAACACAATTACATCATCATCACAAACAGTACTTTCATAAATTACAATGCAAATACAATTTACTTCCCCAAGCACTTGGTGCATGTGAGTTTTAACGGAGTGATGACTACAGACGGAGAGAGCAAAGTAGCACATTTTAAATTTAATTTATTTTACCAACAATCATATTAAAAAAATTACAATACAGCTTAAAATGCTGAGATAATGCTCGGATCTGATAATTTGCTAAAAAACCTATTTTAACAAAACAAAAAACTATTTCCACTTGTACCGTTGGGTCCCCATCTCTCCCTGTTCTTCTTCAGCTGCTCACAGCTCAGACCTGTAGACTCATTTACGCCGAAGAAGCCCAAAACCTCCTCCACCGTCTTAGTGTGAGCATTATCCATCACTACAGAGGGAGGAGGAGAGAGAAGACAATATCAGTATAAGCAGTAAGCTTCCTCAGTACAAAAACATCACAGTCACTCTTCAAAGCCCCATTTTACTAACTTACAGAGGCAGTTCTAAAGCTGGAAGAAAAGTAGTTTGATTCTTATAATCCTCTTTATTCACAACATAAACTACAAGAAGGTCATATGGCTTTAATAAGGCTGCTGCTGATAGTTTAGGTTGAAGGAGCAAACAGCAATTATTTTTAGCTGTATTCAATATTTCTTTGATTTTACTAGTCATTAGAGCTGTGACTAATAGTCGATTAACTGTCAACTAAACAAGACATTTGAAGAGTTGAGACCTAGGGCGTTGGGAAACACTGAACATGTATCACCATTTTCTGACACTTTATGGACCACACAACTAATCGATTCATCAAAATAATGATCCACAGATGAATCAATAATGAAGATAATCGTTTAAAATATGTCTGAAAATTCTGTGTTTTCCTCAGACTTAAGTTCTTATTAGTCCTGTGTAACACATCAGAGATAGGGCACGCTGACTGGAACACATTTGATTTCCAATAAAAAGGCTATGTTTCAGTATTTTCCACACTTGAAAGATGCCTGCACCTTGACTTGTGTTTCTGGGCGCCTGCAATAAAAATTACACACTCTTGCAGCATTAGTTGGCTGGGGAGTCAAATGTACTGTATAGCCAGGCAACCACACAAACTGGAACCCACGGAGACAAACCGGCCCCAGAGACGTGAATTACTAGCCAAAGGGTGTGAGCTGGCTCTGAAAAAAACATCTCCTTATGTTGCATCAAACTGGAAAAGATTTATTTGTGTTTTTTTAGGCCATGGTTTGCTGAGAGGTTACTCGCCCTCAGGCTTTCTCACCTAATGCCAAGGTCCATTCAAAAGTGTGCAAATTTAAGGATCTCTTGCCTAGTGATAAATCACTTACCTGTTGTTCCTGTTTAAAGAGCCCCTCCAGATATGTTATTGATCCAAGCAGACTATTTGTATAGATATTTATTATTTATTATATTTATATAGTCTGATATAAGTATAATTTCCACATTAAAATCCTTAAACCTACAGTATGTAATTGCTGCTGCTGAGGGGTCTCTAAACAGTAACAGTGGTGACCACTGGCGTCATTGCAGTCAGCTTCTCCCTGTTAGGAAGCCACCGTTCGCTGAATAAAATGACACTGCACTTGTGGCTTCAACTTTCTACATCACACTGTACAAGTTGATGACGCCGATCCCGCTGGTAGGCCCCGCCCCTAAACTCAGATGTTCAATGAGCACAGAGAAACTTCCACTTTCAGCAGATGGATGAGAAAACATCCTTCTAGAGTCAAACTGTGCACAGACAGCATTCAAACAGCACACTGTAGGGACAAGAACAAACACTGAGTTCTGACTGGAGGGGCTTCATAGTAGAGAATCTCTAATAAGATGACTGGTAAAGGCCCTAAATCAGGTCGTCAGAAACAGGCCTGTGTTTCAGACAAATGAAGGATCGCCTGAAAATCACTGCAACTTCTACAAATCTACAAAATACATTAAAGCGGCCCTCCCTGCACTCTGCACAGGGGCCAGATATTAGGCTAACGAGTTGGTGGTCTACGAAACATTATTAATGATGACACTTCCGGTCATTTGCTCAACGTTTGACGTAAAACATGTAGCTAGGTAGCGTTGAATACTTACTCGCTGTTAGGAGCAGCCTCACCTCAACCCTGCTTTATAATGGATGACATAACGGAAAATACAGAGACATGTTGCGCACGACTGACCAGCTTTGCCAGCTATTTGATAAGGCTGCAGAATGAAGTGGTTACACGCTGATAAGCCGTATGTCAGACAAACAGCAGCTGAAAAACGGAGCCATAAGCTAGCAGAGAGCGAACGCTTCATGGATGTAACAGCAGCTAGCAGCTAGCAGCTAGCGTTAGTTATCTCGTTAATCCTCCGGAGGTGAACAGGTTGCTTACCAGAGCGGTCGGTATGTCCGTGTGTCGTCGGTCTTCTATCCCTTCAGTTTCAGTAAGACAGGGTGTATCACAGCACCATGTGTTCAATTACTCACAGCAACGGAAAAAAGCAGCAAAAAAATACTTTTAAAATGTCGTTTTTAAAACAGGCTATCTGGCTCCGTTACAGTCTGACAGCCGCTCATGAGTGGATAATCATCAGGACAATATTTCCATTGAGACAGTATCTTATTCCAGAGTCGTACAAATGTTATCAGTTAAAGAAAATTAAGGCTTATTCAAGGCAAATGTTTCTCTAAATACGGTTCAAGACTAGTTTATGCAGACAGTACGGTATTATTACTCCTTATCCTGTCTTCAGGAGTGACTGCGGGGTCAGATTCAGCCTGCAGCCTTCAGCATCCAATGATATCAAGCTCAACAAGCACAAAATGCAACTTCCGGTCCCAACTTTCAAAGTAAAGGCTTCGCATTATGAAATGCTAAACGTCATTACATAATCTAAGTGTGTATTGCAAGACAATGATTGTTTCGCTGGATTAAAAAAAAAACAATCATCAAGTATTGCGCAACCAATAAGATTGTCCTCCAAGATTACCAGGTTTAAGGCTTTTATTTGAAATAAAACTCGTCTTGCTTCTTGTTTTATTGTGGCTAATTCCGCCTAGCTTGACGCTGCTGTCCTGCAATGAACGTGATTAGCAGAATTTTCCAGTGGAGAAACCCAACGCAGCTCACAATGGACCAATGAGAGGCCCAGCGATAAGAATGACATAACATGTTGACGAATCAAAGTGTACAATCTTCTAAAGTCCTGCCCATTGAACGCCATCTCCTCGTCGCTCCATAGTCAGCGAGCTTTCGACCAATCAGCGGGTAGTGCGTCTGCTGTCGCACAACAGATCGACATGTAAACAAATCAGCGTTGAGTTTTGAGTGTTTGACACAGTGCAGACCAATAGAACGGCGGTGGAGGCGAGATAATACGTTTAAAGTGAAACGGGCAGCCCTGCTTCCCTCCTGGTGTCCAAAACTAAATAGTATTTGTGAAACAAACTTCAACAGCTACTCATAATATGTATAAAACATGATGTGTTTTATTTTTTCACTTAAGTGAATAAACTATATGTTCGACCCTATTCTCAATGGGTATACTGTATATAAAGACAGACCTACATATATAAAGAAGTACTGGACATGTACGTGTATTATCACTATTGGGAATGTGTTCCAATAACCATATTGATTTACTTATTGCCATCACTTGAACCACTAACACAGGCTAACAGGCCTTTTATGATTTTTTAAATAATTTTAAGAACACTACGTTCTCTGAATG